AAGAAAGAAAGAAAGTAAAAAACAAAGAAAGAAAGAAAAAACAAAGAAAGAAAGAAAAAGAAAGAAAGAAAGAGAGAGAGAGAAAGAAAATGAAATGAAGTTGTGAAAAAGAAATATTTGAAAATGAAGTAACGGATGAATGGCTAACAGAACGAATGATTGACAACGTGAAGGTAACTACGAACACTAAGAGATTTGAACTGGTGAGCTACTGCTAGGAACTAAAGATCAGTGGTGTAATAGATGTCAGTTAGAACAACAGTTATCACATTCGGGTAATGAATCACCAGTAAGGTTCTTACTAGTCTTAATTATTCACTAAGAAATGATAACTCAGTAAAGAGAAGATTAGAAAGTTTCATTATATTCGCCCAAAAGATCAGTTAAGAAAAAATAGACTTTCTTAGAATCAAGTAAAATGAGCATAAAGGCGTCAGTCAATAAAGGTAGTAACTCGTGTAGTGAATTTAAGGGTTCCCGAAGATGTTGTTCTTCGACACGTCATCAGCTGCCTCCCTGATCGAATAAACGTGCGCTGACGAGGGGGTACTCACTAACCCTCTAATATGTGGGCGCGAAAAATATTTAAGAAACTTTCAGAAAGTTTCGCTAGAGTCAATGAATCTTAGGTGTTCGTGAACCATTTACGAAGGACATCCACTAACATGTTCAAGTGTTTTGTTCTAATTTTTCAAGCTTTAAAATAGCTGACATTTAGCTTCGACGGTACTAGCAAGGTCATACAAGGTTTGACATACCAAATACTTGGATCGTTCAAGTCGCCCTAGTCTCCCCTCACATAATAACCTTAGTGCACTTATCTACAAAGTAAATTTAAATACCTATTATAAAATAACTGTTATGAATATCGCGTTCTGATTGGCTTGGAGCGCGTGCTTTATGACAGCACACAGCACGCGCGCTCGTTTTCTATTTCTTCAATTTGTTTTAGGAGTGCTGATAACGCAGTGAAACAGTATTTACAATGCGACTACTTAACCAAATCCACCCAGACAAATTTTCATACAAATTAGCTAAATCACGATTGAGTACAACAGAATCTGTACAAATTTTCATATTTTTACCTTTAAAAGCCTATATTTTACTATATACGAGTATGTGTATGATGAAGAGTGAACACTGTGAAAAACAGTTTAATTCATCAATTCATCTGTTTATATTCTGCGTCAAAACGTGAGGATCAGTGGAAAAATCAAAAGTAAAATGGCAATGATCTGTAAAGGCTTTTAAAGAATTCCTTAAATGGCAATAAGGAAAGTAAATTAGGCTCTTAAGTCTAGGCGCATTACTGAAACTTTCATTTCCGTGCGTTCCGCACGTTCTGCGCAAATGTGAAACTAAAGAGCTTTTTAAAACGTAACAGCACAAGGACACCACCAATAGCCTACAGCTTGTGCTTCCCTTCACACTTAATTTCGTGCTTACGTCAGTTCCTGCGGGCTGTATACTCAGTAGTGAAATGAACACGGAAAAAGCTGTTTTATTATATAAAAAGAAAAAAATTCATTGTATAGTTTTCAATGCTGTTTTCTTACACCACGACTTGTTATTTACGAAGTTGGCTGCACCCGTGTGGGTGATGCCAGCAACCTTGCTCCGTTTAGCAAACAGCCGGAGCGCGCGTATTGTCTTTAATAGCTATGTATAAAAATCATATATCTTATCACATAAGGAATACGATCTAAGCCAGCCAAAAATATATAATTATTTGCAATTTTCAGTTAATATTTACTATATCAGTATATGAATGTCAGCCAAACAAAGCCTTTAGAAATTCAATCAACCGCCAAAAAACAGCAAACAGCTGAAAACAAAAACGAAAACCCAGACAGTGCATTATCATAAAGAAATTTCCCAGAATAAAACGGATACCAGAAGAGCTGAAAATGAAAGCACACTTTAACTGTTACACACGCGAATGAAAGAAAAACAGGGATAAGTGCTTAAAAAATAAGATGTTTCGAAACTAGCTACAGAAAAGAAAATATATATAGTATTATATATTATTTATTAATCGTAGCCCTTCCTTTCTGGTCAGCATAATGAGAATTATATTATGCATTAGTTTTGACAACTACTTTCAAATGCTGAGAAATCAGGCTATCAAAGAGGAAAAATTTGATGAGACCATTTCATTTTTGAACAGATATTATGTCTAACAAGTTAGTTCTAATTCGCTATTTCGAATATTCTTCTTAATCTTGTAGGAGGGACTAAAACAATTATAGAAGAAAAGGGTTTGCTAGTTTTTGACACCTCTGCTATGACTCATTCATTAGTAGATTTTTTGTATCGTGAATAGACTATTCATTTGCTCAACGTTAGTGATTCACTCTTACCAATTACAACAAAGTTGCTTTTTTTTATTCTACATTATTTTTATTTTTAGCGCTGACTAGAGATTAAAAGAAAACCATAAATGTATTTAAAAAATTAACAAATTATTTCGAAAGTTATATTGCTTATAAAAGCTCGTAAGCTTAATTTTCCTCGCTTTCTTTCAAATTCTTAATCATTTTATATAAGCTTAAAAGGTTTAGAAAAAATAGGTCATAAAACTGAAACTGCACATCTGAAACGAGCTAAAAACACCAGTGTACAAAACCTCAAGACAAATCTAAAAAAATCTGAACATTTAGAATTAAAATAAAATACAACTAATAACTTACTTATACATTAAGCTTATTGTTTTGGTTGATTGATTCGTAGTAAAATAATTAGCCTGCTTAGACATCAATGGGCCTAACCATAAAATGCATATGATTATCATTTACTTTCATCACCGCTCAATTTTATGCCTTTTATTCGATGGARAAAAAAAAAAAAGAAAAAAAAAGAAAACTAAAAGAAAACTCTTTTTAAAAGCGAGAGTATTTCTAACATGTTTTTTTTGTACACACTCGCGAATGAATGAATCGATTTTCGCGCCAAAAAAAGCCACGAGATCAGAGCGTGCAATCTTCAGCCACATGAATTTACTTTATATATAGACATATCGTTTGGTTGTTGTGTGTATTTTATGGTTATAAAACCAAAGAAACACTTACCAACCTGTACTTACCAAGAATACTTCGTACGAAGCAGAAACAGAGTATTTTTCTGAACTTTTTCTTGTCTATGGTCGGTTCAAGGCACGCGCCAAACACAAAGGTAAGTGACAGGAACCTCGAGCGCCTCTTTGAAGGTGTTATCTTGCTTCTAGCGTCTAGTAGCGTCCTCTAAGGCAATTACATTCACGCCCCAAATATGATAGGTTAAATTCTAATTAGTTTTCTCATATTACCGAGATGAGAGACTCCCCCGCAGCACGTTGTACCGACGTTCAATCGTAAAGATGACGTTTGTGCCACAAAGTTGTTGTTTAGAGTCAATAAAAGAGCGTCTCGACCACGAGATAATGTTTTGTTTCTCTCAAGATATCTTAGAAGAGATCCACTTCAAACTTGTCCTCTTTAAAATGTTCGTCAACCTAAAGAGAAGTCATCTTTGTTCTTCGTTGTTCAAGTTTACTTGCATAAACTCCAAGAGCCTTTTTCCTCTAATGAGTTTCACGATGCCGTCAGTTCTGGTTTTATTTCGAAAGTAAACGTGCTGGCAAGCCACAGACTCAGTTTTATAATAAGCTTTGTTCAGAATAGCAGGTGTTTATATCGCAACAGGTGGAAAAACTACTTCATTCAATCATAAACAGCAGATAGAGATCGTGTCTTTGATCATGATGGTTTTTCAAACGGCTCCGGAGGACACGTCAATCAAAATGCTGAACCGGAAGAAGAAAACACCTAACGTACAACCGCTCAAACTCTGAATAAATAAATTCTAGGACTACCAAATAGTTCATGATCAATGAGATAAATAGACGAATCAAAAAGCTCAAATTAAAATTAAAATTACATTCTAATATTATTCAAATTGGGGTTTTTAAAGACTTTTTTTTTCGCCTACGACTTCCAGATATCCGAAGACTTGCGATGGCATCACGAATGCTTACGAACTTTGTACGAACTGTTTCGACTATTTGTCGTGCCTACTTCCGAGCGGTAATAGCACTTTCRATCGAATTGAAAGTGAAAATTGGTAGCACCGTGGAGTCTCTGTTTGAAGTCTATTAGACACAATATAATAAATCATTATTTCCTAAACAGGAAAAGGAAGACGTCTTTGTCTGATATTGTGATTAAGAAACCATAATACCAGCACATAAAATCATTCGTGGATTCGGAGGCGTTCAATTTTCTTCCTGAACATCCCGTTTTGATTTTTACTGGTAAAATTACGAACAAGATGTGGTTTGTTTATGGTATTAACGTATGCGATATAGTTTCGGTTCAACACACACAAAAAAAGCGTAATTTTTCCTAATTATAGCTCTCGCAGTGAAACTGTTTCATCAATTTCCTTCCCCCAGTCTCAACCACGACTTTGAAAAATCGGTTTATTCAATAAGCTAGGATGAAAATCGTTAGGAATTACTTATAAGAAATTAAAACTTTTAATATTTATGATATTAAATAAGATTTTAATATCTATATATACATTGAAGCCCAGAGCTCGTTGTCAAGAAAAGGCCGCAAGAAAAAGTCGGCAGTTGAAATTCGGGGGGACCTAAATTTTTTTGTYGTATTGTTTGTAAATTCAATGGGTGAATCTCACCAAATTTTTTTCAGAGATCATTTTAGAGAACATTAAAAAAATATCACCCACTCCCCCTCCCCCTCCCCCGGGTTCGTAAGTTAATGGACGCTTGTTGCGTCTTTGTCTTTGACTTGCTTTCCTCTACTTTAACCTTCGGCGTCTTACGGTGCATGTTACGTCATAGCCACCATTAGTTGTTGACCATAACAAATCATTCGTTATTTCCTTCTTTGTTAGACATATACCAAAATGGCGACTGTTCATGTTATGTATGTCAGTAATGTGGTTACACCCCAAGAATTGAACAAATCGTGAGAATCGCAAGTATTTCATGCCCAATAGTTTTGAATCACTCATCAGTCACTACCGGTTTTACTTAGCAGAGCATATCAACAAAACGCACACGATTATAGAAATACACGAAAGATTTTACTATCCAATAAAAAAATAAAAATCAATAGTGTTGAATAAATAAAAACTTTTAAGAAACAAAATCATGTTGACTAGTGCTCTCTTATTTTGATGATTTCAAGCGTTATATGCGTAATACTAAAATAGTTCCAACCAATTTTAAAAAGAATGTTATGTAACTCATCAAGGCTTGATCCATGAGTCACGCATACGACATAATTTCGTAAATAAAAAAAATCATAAAGACATTCCAATTAGTTATTTAAACAAGTATGTGTTTTTATGGTCAAGATAGAAAAGGCCACGAAAAATTCGAACACCAAAAAGGAATGAAATCCTACTTCTCAATTGGTTTTGAGTTACGAGAGTTCTTAGTCCAGTTTTAAATCAGTTTTAAGTTATAAAAAGGTTGGTAAATACTATAACTATACATAAAAGTAAGTGATATGCTTCGAAGAATTTGAACGAAAATATTGTTAAACTCTTACAAGCAAGCAGATGTAAATAAAAAAACACATGTTTTGAAATAAGCCGAAACTGAAGTCTTTTAAGTGTTATATATTGATTATGCCTTTAATAGCAAACTTTTGGTATTACTACTGATCGGTTGTTCATCATATATTTACATATTTATAAATGATAATAATGCATAAATCTCTTTTCTATTTTTAAAGATTATTCTTATTAGTCACTACCTGTCACTGCATTATCTGCATAATTTGAGAGCTGTTCTCAATTCTGAATGGTCAACCGCATAATACCTTTGCGCATGACTGCTGCTAACAATGCCAAGAATGTTATGTTAGTTTACAAGCTACGAACGTTCGAATAGTTGAACGAAAAAACCCGAACATGGCTAAAGTTACAGAAGGAACTGCTAGAGCCGCAGCAATTGTCGGATTCTTCATCTTCTTGTGCGGAATTGCAAACTCTACTTGTGGATTTGTGTGGCTTTCTTACGGTGGTTATCAAGGACATGGATTATGGTCGGGAATACCGGTAGGTTATAGTCGCTTCTTATACACACCTAGCTCTCTCTACTATCCCATACAGTTTTGCTTCGTTATGCTCTACTCATTGACTCAAAACTTCTTGAAGTATTCTCATGATTAGCCCTAATCAATGTACTATTTCTGTTCAAACTCTAGAGGGTGAAAGAAAACTGCTTTTATAATTTTTTACTTTACTTAAAAAAATGGTTTTCCTTTACTGATTTCGTCTACGCTCCTACCATTTCAATAGTCTCTTAAAAATATACTCGTATGTCGAGCGGTTTCGTCTGAGCCAGCATTCCCATTTGCTCAAATATTAGACGTATTTCATAGAAAGATTAAGTTGTTTCCCGAATTTTAACATTTTATATCAAAAGTTTCAAAGTTAAAAGCTTGCAATCGAAAAATCATTCGCAATATTCGTCAACACATACTTCAAAATATTACGTATACTCGTTATCGAAACTGATAGTAAAGAAACTAAAAAGCGCAAAATTCACGAAATATTTTGTCCATTATTTGTTTTGTGTAAATCTTAAACGAAAAATGCACGATTTGTGGTACTTATTCTTTCCAAAGGATTCGATAACTTGAGGCTTCGATCAGCTGAATGCATTGCAGTTGTTTTCCGAATGCAAATGCTGCGAAATTTAAAAGAAAACTCTCCGAAATAAGTTCAAAGGAACATTTCTTTGTTAAAGTCTTAAAGTATAAGCTTTATTTACTACATTTGTAAATATTTCACCAATAAAGAAACAAATATGCTTAAATAACTGTTACTATTTTATGGGAATATCAACAAAATGGCGCTGTTGAGTGTCTTGAAAAACACTTGAGCTTCTTTGTTATTGGCGCAAAGCACAAAAACATTCGACTATGCTATCAAAGTCTGTAGCAGGACACCTTATGTTATCGCCTTAAACTAGTCGTAGACTATCTCAAATGAATTAAGTTCCTACAGCTTATAGTGGAGATGCTGTTATTTTTATTATATTTTGATAATATTTTAATTACAGTAATATTTTATCCATGTTCAGTGTTTTGAAAGGCCTCCAGGCTTGTTCTGTATTTCAGAAACGTGGAGCTTGTCATACTTCGACTCAGGAATACGATTTTCCCAAAAACATTCTAAAGCTTTTTCATTATTTGACCTTGTCATGTCRTTCAATTCAATGGATACAAACGAATATATTTGTAGTAATTTATATTCCCTGGATTGTTTTGCTATGAATTGTTGGCTATTGGTTTCATAAGAACGACCACCAACTTTTGAAGTTTGCTTATACAAATATCAATATTTGTATTGAACCAAAATGGTCACGACGCTTTGGTTGAAATTGCGAAATTAAGTCCAGAATAGTTTTGACTCAACTCAAGGGCTTTTTAAAATATTTCGAAGTCTATTACCAGCACGAAAAGATCAATAAGATGCATGTTGCGCTATCATCAGAGAACAGGGAACTCGAGAAAACTCGAATTTTGAAAAGGTTCGTTACACTAATGGCTAACGTTCATCAGTAATTATATAACCAGTTTTCAAAATAGAATATATTATTAACATCGAATTCTTTGGTTGTGTACAATATATAGTTATAAATGCATCAATGGTTTCTTCGCGTTTGAATCGCATCGACTGGACTGACAACAGAACAAATCTCACGCGAGTTATAAGACCAACAATGCGAAAGAATAAGCAAGAGATCTAACGATGACCGTTGCTTGAACAAAACTTCAGCGATTTAATTCTCAAGTCCGTTAGATTCTATTAAAACGATCGAAATTTAAACCTCCTGAATTTAGAACAATAGACGCGCAGTCATCAATCCATGCTTCGTTGAACTAACTCTTCGATTTTTGCTCCAGCTTCTATGTGTGCAAGTCAAAAGTGGACTAAGGCTTCTAATTCCTCTCTCCTGGATCAAAATCATTAAAGGCAAAATAATCACTCAGTTTGAGTTTTGGTAAAAAATTAAGAAATACAATAAAGTTATATATGTTGTATTGCATAACAACGACCTTTTATACTTATCATAATGATAAAAAATAATGAGGGAACAAGTGTAGCGTGACGCGTCCAAAAAGGGCCGCATTTATTTGCCTCACCTCACAATTCAAAAACGCATATTTACCTTCAAAAAACACTTCAGTGATTACGATAATTTCATAATACACTGGTGTATGTGCGTCTCTCACTTCTCGAGAGTTCATTGTCAATCGGAATATGAAAGTAGATAAGAACTAGGGAGGTTTTATAACGGGTATTGCAGATTAAGGAAGTATTTCTCGTGGCTATTCTTGACAGCAGTGACTTCGAATTTATAGGCTTATTCAGGCTACTTCTTTTCTTCTTTCTTCTTGATCTTACTTGTTCTTTCACGATTTTTCATGTTTCTTTTTGGTTCCTTCTTTTCTTCTTCTCAGTTCCTCGATTGACCTTGTTTCTTTTATGTCTTCGTCTTTATTTCATCTTCCTCTTCATCATTATGTTCATCCTTCTACTCCTACTAGCTCCTCCTAATCATGATGATGATGATGATGAACATTATCATCATTTTCTTCTTCTTCCATCTCCTTCTTTTTCTTAAAATTTCACCTCAAACCATTTTTACCTTTTTTATCCCTTCTAGATGTTGACTGTTGGTTTGCTGGGATTTTTGTCTCTTAAAAGAAATAATACAGTGGTAAGATCATCATATAAATTCATTGAAGTTTGCTATATGAACAAACTTTGACCCTTTATATATATGCAAGTATATCAAAAGTATGATATCAAAAAATATGGGATATCATCCCTGATATTTTTTCAGAAAGCCCTAGTGATAGACAACTCGAAAAAAATATCAAGGATATCGTATCCCATAATTTTTGATGTACTTTTAATATACTTGTGTATATGCACAAAAGGGTCAAAGTTTATGCAAACCGCAGTGTATACATATATTTTGCTAGCTATTATATATCTATACTAGTATTATGTATTTTGTTTTGGCTAGTTTGCGTTGTATCTTTTTCTGGCCCTAATGACGTGCATTGCCGCCGGTATTCAAGCAGTAACAGCAGGTCTAGAACTTGATCACTGGAGCGACTTCTTGGGAGAACGAAAGTGTAGCATTGAAGCAGGAGTTTGTAAATGTCTTGGGCAGGAAGATATCCGTATAAAAGACCGTAAGTAAACGTCCATTTCACTAATTGCGAGGAAAATCGTACCTCACTGATTTCACTGGAGAAAAGAGAAAAGAAACGTAAAACAAAGAAGGCTTTTTTATTTTGCCCTGGAATTTGCTAAGCTGAATTTATCGACGCAAGTTCATAGCGTAATATTTCTTTATTCAGCCCCGAATTTTCCTATCCTCTAGAATATACTGATTTCTTGCGAGGATTTCTTCGGAAACTGGAAGCAAAGTACAGAGCTGCAACATGGCTGCGTCGAACGACTCGGTCAGCGGCATGATTTCTGCGCTCATTGGTATGATTCCCGCCATTGATCCTCGAGCGACAATAAGATACAGCAGCAATTTGGCACAAAAGAAAAGATTCGGTAAAAAATATGCGAACTCTAATTCGTTGGATTTTTTAGTAAATATACTTTACATTTTCGTTGCAGTGGATTCATGTGACAAAATTCCATCCATCAATGATATTTTCATCACTCTTATCGTCTTCTCTATTATCGGATCACTTCTGTGTCTGGGTGGCGCCATCGCTGGTTGTGTTGGCCTGGCAACTGTTCCTAGATCGGTAAGACTATTTCTCAGTGTGTTTTTTTACTTTTACAGCGGTGCGGACACAATAACCTGGACCACTTTTACAGATTAGCTAACCAATCACGATGTTGAGGGAAAACTGTAATCTTTCAAGAGAAAGCATAATCAGTATCATGTTAATATCAACCAATCACAATCTCTCATTCAAACAGTTTTTGAAAACATCTATGTTTTTTCTCCTATATATATAATCAGATCTATGTTTCGTTGATTGGCTTCTGATTGGATAAGGATTGACTTAAGTTCGATTGCTTTGTTTTCATTCCACATTGTGATTGGTTTATAGTGTGTTTATARATTGAAACAGTGCCTGTAAGAGCCAGACTTCAACCCCAATTTCGTCACCCTCTATTAATTCAGTACTTAACAACTGTTACTGGAAATGTATAGATGTATTGCCATATTTTTTTAGTCCCCAAGTACGTTGCCAAGACCAAAACGTCCAGCAAAGAAGCCGATAACAGGGATTGAGGTTTCTTACCAACAAAATAATTACCCTTCAAATAATTACCCCCCACGCACCGAGTCCGCGTATCCAACAGAACAGATTCAAATAGCTGATCCAAAAGGAAAAGATCATTACGACAGTGGCTATAAACAAGACTATTATAAGAGGTCAAACGATGTGGACATTAGATATGGTGATTATGACAGAGATCGCGAAATCGACAAATTTCCCAGAGACATGGACCACAGTGACCGAGATTACAAGGATAACTACTCTGACCGCGATAGTTATGACAGGCATTATGATGACAGGGATTATGATAGGTATTCCGATAGGGATCACTACAGAGGCGAATACGATAGAGATTATGATTATGATTACGACCGAAGATCGTACGAGTATCGAAGAACACCCCCACCAGATGACAAGACATACCTCTAACTCCATCTTATCCGGCATCATGGCTCCATTCTTACGCTATAAGGTTACATCCGTGTCCTTTCTTGAATGAACTCTCTCTTTTAGCCGCATAACTGGTTATACAGGTCTATCTTATCCAGTTTTTTATCCATCCATTCCGCATAATTCCTGGAATGGAGGTGTTGCCATCAAGGAAATCGCCGGTACGCTGTCTTTATCTGGACAACGTTGCCTCGCGATTTCAAGGCAAAAAAAAATTAAATGAACAATGTAAGTTTTAAGTTTAAATCAACACCGTCTTTTCCCATAGAAATAGTTTGCATCATTTTAAATTAAATTTTACATCATGTACGTTTAGCTCAGATACCACTTCCATTGTTTATAACACAGGAAAGGGAGTGTGGTCAGGGTTTTTAAAAAGTTACATAAAACCGTAAGGCAAAAACCGCCATTTTCCCACCAAAGAACTGAATCTTCACAAATTTTAAATCAAGTTTTACTCGTTTAGCTAGACTGATTACCCAATGTTCGTGCTACAGGAAAGAAAGTAGTGAATCAGTTGGGAAAATAAAATGGCAAAAAAAAATATTAAAACACCCAAAGTCCTCCTTCCTGTGTATCACAGGATGATTTGTCGTTGAATTTGACAATAAGTGCAAGTCATTCAGAAGTATTTTATTTTTTGTCATTTCGTAAATTTATCACGCTATTTATCCTCCTATTTAGTCATTGAAACTTTTTTATTTGATACAAAGTCGAAGCTAATCGAGGTATGATTCAAGACGTGTTCTAGGGCTCAACTCCTGTCCCTTGGCTCGAGGGTTCATAAATTCCAATTCGATCTGTGAGTTAGGCAAACCCTGATTTAAATCTACGAAGGGAGTGCTTAAGGCAATTGCTGTGTGTCTCACTATATCTTGCCCGGTGCCTTGGTATGGCTCAGTTGAATCGCAAACTCTGCGAGTATATCATGGATCATGAAAAAGAATCTACTGCCTTTGAAATTTAGCAGCATTATCAGTTATTAACAGACAAGAAAAAGGTGAACTATTTTAATATGTAAAAGCTATACATTTTGGCAATTATTCTTAAACTCAAGATAAATGCTACAAGCAGCCAATAAAAACTTAGCTCATAAAGAGTAATTCAGCTGTATATAATTATATATAATGCAATTTTTAATAGGTTAGGATTTTAGTTCGTAAGCGTATTGTTTTTAATTCCCTGAAATAAAGTAAATCTAAGTGAAACTGGTCAACTTGTTTTTCGAGGGGGGAGGAGGGGGTGACAAAAGGAAGAACCAGACTGAAGTTTTTACACAGTCAAAAAGAGCTAGGGTTGTCAGCATTTTCATTCAATCCAAAGTTCTGTCACAGAAGAAGACTGACAARCATTGGGGATAGGGAGGAAGGCTTGTTGACTCTTGTATGATAGTCCATGAGGATTCCTTCGGCCCTTCCTCTACATAAATCTAAATAAATTAATGCTCACTAGTACTGAATATTAATCTTTCTTCCAACTATTCTTATTATTTGTGCTTTTGCGATCGCGGACTTTTTAATTGAGTTTAACGACAATATTGCAAACGAAAGTAAATTAATATCTTGGATGATTGAAAAACCTATCCGCAATTATATACCCTGAATGAGCCAATAGGATAAATGCACCTGTGTCCTTGTGACGTTAAGGGACATCGAATAAAAGATACGAATTTTTGAGATCGAATTGATAATTTTACTGATCTTGCGCTGAGCGCTTTCAGCTGTGTGAAGATGAAGCCTGTTCGTGAAAGAGAAGCACGATTTGCTGGCATTTGTGGCATATCTGCCGTAGTGTTGGGCCTGGGACATATCATTTGTGGGTCCATCTTACTTGGTTACGAAGTGAAGAATGGAGATGGTTTGTGGTCGGGTTTGGGGGTAAGTCCGCCATAATGATGATGCTAACGACACAAAAATAACCAACTTTAAAAAGTTACCCGTTTCTTTCAGTATTTTGTGTCCTTTCGAGGAGCTATATAATTTGTGATTATTTTCATTCGTTACGATAATATCTCACTTGAAATATCAGCGCATTAATACTACTTTAAATATAGTTTTCATTTTATACTTAGTTAGCATCTTGTTTATTCCATCTGTTTTTATTTTTTGTTTTTTTTTTACCATCGATGTTTACCGGTCGGTTGAACATCCGTCAAAAGGGCTCAGAACGCTCTCGACAGGCGATCTTTCTTCGCGAAAGTTCACTAGTTTAATGTGCATTTCCTTTCATAACAGAAAACCTTTTTATATCCATAGAAGCCGATCAATTCCTTAATCGAACTTTATTAATTATTATGTCAATATCGGAGACTGAGCTCAATGCTTTTTTCAAAGTTAACCTTCACCAGCATGAGTGCCGGATATAATCCATCTCAGACACTTCACGAAATGTCATGCTACATGCAAACAGACATGGGACTATTGTAGGATATCTGAAAGACTGAAGACTGGAAGAAAAAAAAAGAAGAAGAAGAAAAAAAGAGAGGGAAATATGAAAGAACGAATGCATGAAAGGAAGGTGGGATCAAGGCGGAATAAGGTTACTGCATTCATGCAAAAGATAAAGAATATACAACTGAAAGACACAGAATATGAGAAATAAAAACAACATAAAATAGTTCACCGGGATTGACGGTATATCTTAAAATTTTCAACTAAAAGAAAATGTGGTTTATGTCATTATAGTTTATAGCAGCGAGTTAATCTGCCATCTGTTCGCTGAATCATAAACTTTTAGTAACTGAGTGCATTTATGAGTTATTTTTATCGCGGATGTTCAGATATCAAGACAATATACACCCTTTTAATAAATCCCACGATGCCTTGTTTTCGACGCTTGAAGCCAATTTTTTTTCTTTTGACGTTTGCTTGTTCAATGTGAAATCGAAAAAGAATGAAATTGAAGTGTAAAGAATAAATTTAACGTTAAACGCGGGGAATAAAGCACTGTGGAATATATCATGAAAAAGGCATCTTCATGAATTCATTAGCAGTCTCTCGCCGAATCAAAATAATAGGTTTACATGATGAAATATATAATATGACCGGAACTGGCGAAAATGGAATATATGCAGTTCAGTTTTCTTAGTATAAGTAAGTCAATTTAAAAAAAGTAAAATATCGTTTGACATTTTCGATGTGGTTCAAACCCCTTCAAGCCTGGTGATTTTTTCCCCCGCGGCGTATTCTAAGAAAAATGCTCGGAATACAGCATTATTGTTTGGTTATCGGTCTTACATAGGTCCACTTTGCTTTTTGTCCTACACCAGAAGCGCTCGGCTCACGACTTCATTACGTCTCGATAGTATAATAGATTTCGATTTGGTTCGATGCCATCTTTTTAGTGGTGTCAGTTGTCAGTCAGTTCTAAATCTTTTTTGACTTTCTCTAGATTATTGCAATAGGAGCTATCGGGATCGCGATATGGTGGACGAAGTTTAGACCAGCTGTGAGTACTTTTACTAGGCTCATGCATATTAAGTCTGCAAATGTCAATCTTTCATGTTGGTGGTGGTATTGGTAATACTGGTAATCATACAGCATTATAGTTTTACGTCTTAATGTAGGGTGATGGTGTTCCTGGTCAGCTATAATTTGCTTGTAGTGCAAAATATTTTCATACAATCAACTCCCCCCCCCCCCCCTTCACTGATGAGTACAAGGTTCTACCAACAGATGTGATGCATATATGGTGTTCTTCCTAATAGTTTTTTGTCTGCTTGCAGTGCAAAATATTAATTTCATAGATCAAATTTCCTTCTTCACTGAGGAGTGCAAGTTTCTACCATCAGATGTGATGCATATATGGTGTTTCTAGTAATTTGTGTCTGCTTAGTGCAGAGCAAAATATTTTCTGAATAAATTTTCTTTTCCTTCACTCATGAGTGTATGTTTCTGTACCTACAGATGATTATCTTCTTGATGCTGTCTGCCGTGTTGGCAATAGCACTGGTTATCCAGACTGCCTTGGCTGTTATTGGTTTCGTTTTTTGGAGGGATTTCATTCAGATGTCCGATAACTGTTACATTTACAACGGCGTATGTCGATGCACAACCAGCGACGGGAAAAAACTTCCCATTCCCTGTAAGATATCATGTGGCTTAGAGTGTGGTACCAAAAGTCTTTCTTACTTGTTGGGGGTTAAAAGGAGGTGTAGTAGTATTGCTCTCTTGCCCAGCTCACCTCTGGAGTCTAGGGTTCAATTTCTGCACTCGACATCACATGTGAGTAGAGTTTTCTCTCCCGTAACGTTTAAAAAGGAGAAGAAAAGTAGCGATGCAGACTCAAACAACAGAGCTTGAAAAGAAGGAAAAAATTCTTAGTGCTTAAAAGTGCTTATTCCTATATACAGTATTTTACTCTTGGTGACATACAAGGCTTTTCTTTTAGTTTTGCATAAATTTTAAAACCACTTTTCCTTCAAGAAGTCCCGGTTTTAAAAGAAGTGGGGAACAGGGCCCGGATGTACGAAGGGTGGATAGTGCTATATAAATCTTATCCCGTGGATAAGTCTATTGCATAACAGCATCGACTTTTCCACTGGATAAAGGGGATCTATTCGTCTGATAGCGCTATCCACCCTTCGTACAACCGGGCCCTGAACAATAGAGATGGAAAACTAGGGCACAATAAAACAAACAAGGAATAAGTCAGCGAAAATACATAACAACCAGACTATGACAAGTGTAATGGTGCAAGGGAATGACTCTATATTTACTTTCATAGTGGAGTCATGTGACCTAATCAAGATGTTTGATGACGCGTACATTGCCTTGATCATCTTTTCCATTTTGAGCTTCCTCGTAACATTGGCTGGATCGTTCATTGGTTGCTTGTCAACTTGCTTTGATGACTTAAAGGTATTGCACCAAAAGTAATTTCTATAAAAAATAAATGCATCCGTAAAATATTGGCTTAAGATTGGAAGAAGTTTTGAGGGTATATCTAGAGGTGGGCTTATCCATTCAAATGCTGCAACATTATTGGCTGTTTTTTATTAAATCACACAACATCCAATTTATATTTTTATTATTTTCCATATGTGCGTGGAAATGTCTTTCCTGTTTGTAATAATAATTGGTCCAATCCTTGAAGCATAGAAAAGATGAGACATGAAAAGAAAAGGAGTGAGGTCATGCAGAAGTAAACCTTGCTGCAATGACCTAGTATCACATTCAGTTCCCCATATTTCGACACAAGATCATTTTCTTATTGTCTGGCCTCCAGGAACCCAAACGACAGCTAACCATGACAACACAGCCAACTGATCTAGATTCGGAGCAGGTTGATCAAATCCAACAACCTGAATCGCCACAACAATCAGCCAGGCAAGATGAGATCACCAAAACAACCGACATGAAGGAAAGTCAAGTCCAAGAAAAGGACAAAAAGAAAGATGAAGCATGTGGAAATGTATATGAGATTATCGTAGAAAAGGTTGCATGAAATTTCTGTCAATATCTGCGAAGCCCCATCATCGTCCCTGTCAAATGTGCAATGTGACTGTGTTGTGTTTTGTAAGAGGAATTTTATTGAAGTGAAAAAAGTGTTATAGGACATCAGCCTGTATGTAAAGTCATCCCATTCCTGAACCACGTATACACTTATTTCAATAAAGTTAGTCACCAAAAACCTAGAAAGCTGAGATCACTGAGCATCATGGGAAACTTTTCATATCAAAAAAGCATAAATATACAAAGTTTTTTTAATACAAACTGCAGCTCGATGATACTCAGAAGAGGTGAGACTCTAACCGGTAAAAGATTCGCAAGTCCATGAACAGTTACCAAGCGGTTGAACGTGTAAAATGAATCTACCCATAATCCTTGTCGGCCTCAGCTTTATAGCTTTTCAGGTGACTAACTTTATTGAAATAAGTGTATGGGTAGGAGTGAAAAGGGACAACAGAGCAGGAGGATAGCTTGTCTTCTCCTCCTTTGTATTGTTTTCTACACTATACCTAACTTGTTCAAACACGCTTCATTCAATAACCAATGCATTCTCTTTGATACTGAAACGCATATAAACCAATAAATAACCAATGCATTATCTTTGCGCTAACTCGCTAACGCATTTAAAATTTCAGATAGCATGAAGCGCTGCTGTAATAATAATGCAGCTTTTATGCTCAAGCACCACCTAAGTAAACTCACTACACAATAAAAGTTATTAGTTAGCTTTTATTAACGAAGCTAAAGATCTTGKTTTTTTTAACACTTTAATTTGTATATTAGTAGATGGTAAAACATTTTATTGCAATATTATTAATATTAATAATAATATTTCTTATGAAACTTTTTAGCCTTTCCCCATATTAAAATGCAATATAAATGTATGACTTGTTCAAAGTACCACTGTATTGGGTATTTCATAAAACGATTAATAAGACAAGTATTTGTCATAGTAATAGAGTGCAACGAAAGCAAAGGTTAGAGTATATTATCAATGGATTGGTATGGAAGTTATTAGGACTCCTGCAATGGAAATATAGGAGAAACTGCAATTTTGAGACACTATTCAAACAGTTTCAGTCTTAGAATCTTCGTTATCTATAAAACATTTATAAGTTCACTTCCATGCCATTCTCTTTTTTTGCCGTTTCTAAAAATCTACGATTTTTTCGTTTTACTTAAATCTAAAATAACTACAGATATAGATTCTCCAAAAAAACGCTCTAACACTCTTGTTCATATGCGTTAAAATATGTACAGTGTTCAGTATATGTTTTGGTCGCTTTACTCAGGGACCGGTGAAAAACATATCAGATTCTCTTTGGCTGATTGACTGTTATCTATTAATGACCCAGAAGGGGCGAAGAAGACTGAATCTCTTCTTTCATTTTCACTGTCATTAAGACTCAGAGCCATGAACATAGTGGATGGAGTCATGCTTGACTGGTTTAACTTGTTTGACGAGTCCCTGACTGGCGTAAAGGTGACTAGTGATTGGCTGTTGGGAAGCAAAACTTTTCCCGCCAAAACTGGAGATGCTGCTGGTGCAGTGTCGTCGCCTTCTTCTTCGCTTGATGTTGAAGGAAGAAAGTATTTATTTGGTAGAAAGAGGTCGCCCTGTGTACGCAAAATGATACATTTATGAATAAATATTTTTAGACAAAAGTCTATTTTACTTTCTTGGAAGTGACAAGCAATGACAACGAAAACAAGTGACAAGCAAAACCAAGAAGAAAAAAAGCAACGAGAATGTGACACAACCCGCTACAACAACAACATTAGCAGCAAGATATAAGCAGAGCAAAGTAAGGTGATATTATATAAATACTTGCCTGTTCATTTGCTGCACTTTTTCTACAGGATCGTCGCAGGGATCTTCTTTTGGAACCAGACCTCACAGCTATTTCCTTGTCAACACAACTAGGCGTTTCAACATGCGTCTCCTCAGGCGAGGTAGACATTTCTGGTGCAGAATCACTGGAAGAGTTATCTTGTTCCACTGGGGTAGTATTGGGATGACTTCGAGTTGATCGACGAACAGGAGTTACATTTGATGCTCTTTTTCTTAAACTACTTCTTCTAGCACTATAAGGTGCTGGGGTATGGCCAGCATTCAAAGAACAAGTGCTTCCCTCTACTAGAGGAGAATCAAACGAAACTGCCACAGGTGTCAATGTTATCCCAGTCGATCGTACGTTCTCCTGTACCCGGGGGGTAAAGCCAATGGCCCCTGGGGTACCACCGGCCGTAGAGTTGGCAGAAGATTGTGGTGATTGGAAAAATACGCGTGATGATTTGCGCTTCTTTTTTGTTGAGGATCGTAGACAGCTTCGCCTCTTTTTAATTGTATCTCTTTGTACCTCATTCTGATCCATTTCCATATCTTCGTCTGTGTTTTCGACAATATTATTCTCCTTAGCAGAAAGGTAATCACTAGTTTGAGCTTCAGGATCGGAAGAAAGACTTCCCACCTTCATTTCTTCAGCATTCATTATCTCTTGTTCTTTTTCCATCTTCTCTTCAGACGATTGATCTGAGCCAGTATTACAAGGGGTACCTACAACTGCCTCTGGGGTTAAGCGCAGGTCTGGACTTTTCTTTCCAAACTTTTTAGGAGTTGATATAACTTTGGGCATTGCATGGGGAGCACCTGAATGGCTGACTGGTGTGTTGCGCAATGAGCGTCTGACTGGAGTAAGAACAACTTCCCCAGCTAAGCCTATAAAGGGGAGGAGAGAGAAAGAACAAGATGTCGATTCACCATGACTATTTTTTTACATACTAAGGGGCAGTTTACGTGGAGAAAACTTTTCCCTGGAAGCTGGGACACACTCCTACCTGAGCCAACTATACTGAGCGTTTATATGAAAAGAATTTGTCCCTATAAACCTGGGACAACTATCGGTTTTAATGGAGATGCCCATTCTCAAACAAAAAAAGGTCTTAGTCATGGGAAAAATTAACCCTACCAGTAGGTTGACCCTTCTAGCCTAGGCATAGTAAAATATGTCATATAAATGGTCGAGATGAATTTACAAAGAAACCAGGGAGACGTTGGCTAGCCCAGGATATGCTAAGCTTGGGAAAAGTGGTATCCCTTCTACCTGGGACAGCTTTCCCCATGTAAACAGCACCTAATTGAGGTTCAAGCTCATTTTTATATATTTACCTGATTTCTTGCTTTTCTTTACTGGTGTCAGAACAGTAATGAAAGAGGTACTCTGAAAGCAACAGCACACATCCTTAATTCCCAAACATGTTTTCAGTCCCAAGTTTTGACATCAGTCTTACCTCTCCATCTTCTGCTTGCATCTGTCTCTTCTTCTCCGCCATCTTTGCTTTCATGGCTGCCCTCATTTCCTGTATTTTAGACTTGTCTGCAGGTTTGGCATCTCTTTTTCCAACACCTTTAGCTGTGGCATTTTTCTGGAAACAAAATAACTGTGTTAATAGAAAGTTTTTTGTTCTTTCATATTCTATTTTCCCTCCATTTTTTTGGAAAATCTTCAAAACTGTGTTTGTAAATTATTATTGATCAAAGAATTGAAAGAAAATATAAACATTCAAAATCTGCAACATTTTTCATATTTTCTCTTTTTACTTTAATCTTTTTGCTTGCTGTCTTGGCTTGCTTGGTTTCTACGATCCAGTTTTTTTCTTTTTGTTTCTCTAAACTGTCCATCTTAGTGTTCACATCTTCAACCTAGAATGAAAGACAATTTTGATGATACATCACTCATATACCCCTAATGCATAAAACAAGACAATATTACAGTACTAACAGTATACCTCTGGAAAAGTATTAACGAGTCAACAAAAAATTGGAAAGAAGAGAATAGAACATTTGGTTGAAATTCCAGAGATTTTGGGTAATTTTTTAAGTGTATTTCAAAATGTTATTGGTGCAAAAGTAATGGAATTGCATTACAAATAATCTGCACTGAACGAAAAGTTTCTTTCAGTATTCTTACTTGAAAATAAATCATGTCCCAGAAGCCCTGTAGATCTGACATTGTTGCCTTCTTCTCTGCAGTTTCATCCTGAAACAAAATCAGACAAGAAACAAATAAATATTAGATGCAAAGGGCCATTTAAAATCTTAATTATTCACCTCTTATAACCTGTTTTCTTCCCACATACCTCACTCAAGTTAATCAGACCAGAAAACTGCTTGAATCGCTGACTTATCAACAGCTGTGCCTGACCAATGGCTGTTCTGATGTTTCCTTTAGCTAAAAACCAAAAATGTTAGATCATTTTGTTAATATTTTTCCAATATTAAGTATCAGTAATTATATTTAATTTCTTTTTTAACCATTGAGTTTGTGTTTCATTGAGAAAATAAACCCAAAAGGTGCCGGTCATATTTGCAAAAACCATTACCTTCCTCTGGTAAGCAATTATCTGACTCCATTACTTTCTCCCATCTTTCACAAAGTAGATTGAGTTTCTCAGTTTCAGATGATACGAGATCCCTGAAATACTTGCTACTAAGTTGATTATCTTCATTTTCCACAGCTTTGCTTCCTTGCTCATTATTTTCCTCTGTTCTGCTTTCCACATCTTTCACATCAGCTGAGGGGATTACACCAGTGTTTGTATTTTCAGTTTCTTCTGACATGAGAACTGGATATTGATTTTCAGCCTCCTCATTTCTTAGAATAAAATTGTCCTTGGTAATTAAATGGCGTTGGTTTTCTGGGGTAGGAATGGCTGGGACCAATTCCTGGAAAAAGCTCTCAGTACTGGCAGGACTTAGGGGCTGGAACTTGAATTCCTTGGAATAGTGTTCAAAGGAGCATATACCAGATGGAGCAGTGAACTGGAAGTTTGGTGGTGCAAATGACTTTCTTTGTTGCTTTTTTTTAGCTAATGGAGTCATGACTTTCTTCTCAGACTCAACTGGGGGATCTTTTTCTTTCTTGCTTTTTTCTTCAAGTTTATTTTTCTCATTATCTGTATGTTGATTAACTAAAAAAAAGGATAAAACTGAATGTTATTACAGAAATGAGTAGATCTATATACTGTATGGAGAAATGAGAAGATCTATATATTTTGCAATCCGATGCTACTGAAGGACAACCTTATTCTTTTTCAACGTTATTACAGAACTAAATTTTTTTGTCATCTGAATAAAATGCAGTACCTGCTAATGATGTCTTACTCTTAACAGACTGCCTTGTCACCCTTTTTGGCACATCTTCATCCTTTTCAATGGTTAAAAAAATAATAATAAGTATCACTTCACAATTATCAAATTTGCATTTACTATACCAGTATGCTTAAAAATCACCTTTCCCCTACCCAGTCCCTCACCCTTTGCAGTTCCTTTTAATGTTCTTGGTAATGAATACATTTGGTACCAACCTTAATGACAGCTACAGGCTTTTTGGCACTGGATGTTACTTTTCTGCTTGCTTGCTTGCTGATGGCTAGTTTTGCTGAAGACCGTGTCACTCGTTTAGCAGGAGGTACACTAACTGGTTTGGGTTTTTTAGGAGTTAACTTTGTTCCTTTGTTAGGAAATGGTGCCAGGATAGTTTTGTTGTCATATTTAATATGCCTCACAGCAAATACACCTTTTTCTTGTTTCTTGGCAACTTCTGCCTTTCTTTTAAGCTCTCTTTGTTCCCTCCATTTTAAGAGCATGGCTTTTCTCTCATCTGTGACTTGAGGCTGGGGCGCATTTTCTTTACTGTTTGATTTTGCTACTAAAATGAATAACAATTAACTTTTACAACAGTTCTTTGCATAAGGCAGTTGATATCCACGTTACAAGGTAGGAACAATAAAATTGTTTTTGCATGAAAGAGATATAATTTCCCACTGTACAAAATTTCTGTTGTATTGCTCCACAATATGCTATTGCTAAGTAGATCCCAACTTTCGTAGTGAATCAATAAATTTAAAAGTATTGTGAATAATATTGCAGACAGTCATGTTGTGGTGGGGTGGGGGAGATGAAGGTGTAGGTGAAACCTTCTCAGCAGCCTGCCTCCTTTTTCAGACCAGACCACCAATAAATATTATACTCCCAATTCATAAATACATCCCTGGGTCCCCTTGGTCGATTGATATATGATTAGGATGTCTCATGTATAATGCAGATTACCATTTGACACAAAAAGATGGCAATGATTACCTTTGACTTTGCCTCTGGCCTTGCTGTCGTTGGTTTTTACCGTTGTTTTCTTTTGACTTGGATTTTCCTCCAAAGACAAGTTACATTCATTAACTAGAGACAACACTAAGCCTCTTCTTTTGGTTATCTCATCTAATCGTAAGGCTTTCCTATCTTCGTTGGCACGATGAGCTCTAACGAACCGATTTGAACTTCCCAACTTTTCTCCTCGATTCTTGTAGGACGAAACATGGTCGTGAACATATCTCTTATTTGTAGCATCCATAATTGTCGAAACTCGCTAAAATTATTCTTTAACTCAAGAAATTAAAATAATCTCGAAAAAATCTTAATTATAAAACAATCGCATAAAAAATAAAGGATTTTTTATCAGAAATTCCACATRAACTCTTGTTATGGCACTTTTTCGAATACTCGATTCAAAACGTTGGCCTAAGTCTTGATTGGTCAATATTAAAATCTTCTAGCCAATCAGAACTCAGTACTGGTTTTTAAAATTGGACCAATTAAAATAAAGATTATATCCTAAAGTTGCATAACCTATCAGATGTTTCGATATATGCATAGACTATGTATTCGTTTAACACAATAGATAAAAAAATGCCAATCAGATTATTTCTCATATCATTGAATGTGGACCAATCAGATAACACGTTAATTTCGGTTCTTCTAACTCGTGTCAGTCAAAATGAGCTTTATGGGAATATCCGCAAAAATACGTATTTCTCCTATTGGATTTATAATTTTAGGCTTATGTGGTTTAGCAATTATTTATTATTTTACCACTGATTTTGGTGCTTCATCAAAGTACACCGATTCTATCGATACAGTCTCGATTAAACAACTTCTTGCAGCTGCAATCGACCTCGCACAAAATGGCGGCGAAGCCGTGAAAGCGGTGAAAGAAAATAATAATCTCAAGGTAAGAATGGATTATAACCCAGTTGTCTATTCTTTGGAACAAATGAATATCTATTTTTATTATAAGCCATGCTCAAATCGAACCCTTCCTTCCCCCTTCAGGAAGAATGAGCATAAATAAAGGAAGCTACTTGTAGCTAAAGCTTTATGAGATATTGTCATGTTAATTAATTGAAGCTCATAGTATATTATTTACGAGCTCTATTAGAGAGTCAAATCAAAATCTATATGGACCTAAATACCCCTTTTTAAATTATCTGCTAAGCGAGGCTAACAGGAAAATACGAAAGAAATGACAGGAATTCCATTGTGAAAAAGTGTTATTTCCTTTCTATTTCCTGGCTAAGGCCCAGCTGTTACAAGGGGTGCAGAGTGTTACTTACAGATGGTGGTGTTACTCGAGACGATATATTAAGTTYCGTGCCACATTATTGCGTTAAATTTTGGCCTCATATAATATCTACATGGCAATTGGTTAAAATAATTAACTATGATTCATTGCAGATTTTTTAATAACCTTCTCATGCTCATTAATAATACATGAGGAAACCAGCTAATCAATCAGCCTATTTTTGGGTCACTTGATGATGTTACTTGAAACCTGGTAAAGTCATGTGAAAGGACTGAATTCAGTCTGTAGTAACTGGAACAAAATTAATTTTGTTCCAGTTACTCCAAGTTGAATAATAATGAGCATGAGAAGTCATTTCAAAGCCTCCAATATCGGACTGGACAGGATTTCAAGCCTGCGCAATTAGTTCCAGTCCAAGGCGAATTGTCGACTTTGAAATATTACTTCAAAACTCACAACAATGTTGCTATAAATTTGTTGCCATTCATGTTAGTTACGCGAAGCCAACTTTTAACGCTGCAATGTTGTGTGAAAAATTTCCTCCTGTAACACCACCTTTACATATTGAAGCTTTTAGCTGAAACTTTTGTGTGAGACAAGTTCCACACCAGGCCTGCAGGCAGTTGCCAGGACCTTGAAATGGGAGGTTGGTTTTTTACCAATCTTAGTTATGCCATTTCTTAAAAAACTAAAATAGCGCTAAACTAAATGTTTCTGGAAATATGTTTCCTCATTTAGCCAGGGCTTTAATTACTTTTGCATCCAAAATATATAATACATATCATAAGGGGTATATAATGGAATTGTATTTTTTTGATATTTTCAGCAAAAAAGCAAAGGTAAGACAAAAGAAGGAGCAGATGATCCTGTAACACAAGGAGATCTCTTGTCCCACAGAGCTATTTTTTATGGCTTTGAGAAGGCATTTCCAAACATCAAGGTTGTATCAGAAGAGCATGAAAATGCTTCATTTGAGAATACCCAGATTAAGGCACCTACGACATCAGCTGTCATGCTTAATGAACATTTATATAATCTAGAAGATGAATACGTTCCTTCCAGTAGTGTCCTTGTTTGGATTGATCCACTGGATGCAACAAAAGAATACACAGAAAATCTACTGAAATATGTCACTACAATGGTTTGTATAACTGTGAATGGGAATCCTGTGGCTGGTGTTATCCATAGTCCTTTTCTAAAACATACCTCCTGGGGATGGGTCCAACATGGCCATTCACCAGATTTAAAAAAACCGTCTTCACAGGTGTTGGAAAAGGAACCTAAAATTATAATATCTAGATCGCATCCTGGCAGTGAAGTAAATGCCCGAATCCAAAAAGCATTTGGTAAAAATGCAAAGATAACCAATGCAGGGGGTGCGGGATACAAAGTTTTAGCATTATTTGGAGATGATGCTGATGCTTATGTTCATTTAACTCTTATCAAAAAGTGGGATATATGTGCTGGAGATGCAATATTGAGAGCCATGGGTGGAAAAATGRCAACATTGAATGGAAAGAGAATAAACTATGGGAATGAAAGAGCTATTAAAAATAAGGATGGACTCTTAGCAACATTATTGGAACATGAGATGTTTCTTAAAAAGCTTTCACATGCAAGTTTATAATTTAAAAGAGTGCATATGCTAAACCCATGAAACATAGATATATTAGTGTTGATTAACAGTATTATAGATCAACAGCCACAAATAAGGGACTTAAWTTTTTCAGTAGTAAGGGATGGGGTTGGATTTTTAAATTCCATGGCTTAAGCTTCAGGCCACATGTCATTTCTTCGAGTAGCATTTCTTTGATTAAAAGAGAAGACACATGAATTACAGTGAAACCTGTCTAATCTGATACAGACAACAAAGGCCCAGAGGAAAGTGTCTGTAATATGAGGTATCTGTAATATAGAAGTTGTTCTTACAAAGTGATTTAATTTGACAAAACCTAAACAGCTATCCATAAAATAGAGGTGTCTGTATTACTGAATGTATAGAGGTGTCTGTATTATAGAGGTGTCTGTATCATAGAGGTGTCTGTATCATAGAGGTGTCTGTATTATAGAGATGTCTTTAAGGAGAGTTTCCACTGTTTATATACACAACTCAAAAACGAATATTATATTCAAGTTAATGACTCATAGTCTGAATTAGAAAAAAAAAAAACATTTTTCCTAACCTAAAGAGTTGTCATTCCCTAAAGTAACATTTCTTTTTTTAAAAGTTATTGACATGACAAGACACATGAATATTGATACAACTTAAATTAAGGATCTTTTCCTTAAGGGAATGATGTGGTCTGAAATGGAAAAAGATTGTGCTTTACATTTTAATTTTTTTAAATTTAAATTTTACTTGAACAATACTTAGTATCTTTAATTTGCAGCGTATTTCATGTCACTGCATTCAGTAAATTCTTTAGGGACTGTTCATTAATTATGCCTCAGGGTGGGCTGGAGGAAAAATCGAAAAAAACCTTGGAAAAATTTACAACCACCCTCCCCCTCCCAATTCTATCTAAACATTTTCCCCCTCCCCCCCTCCTTGTGACCTTTCAGACATACCTTAATTATTTGTTTCAACCACCGCCTTTAAGTCAGCCAATACTATTAAAGCCCCCCCCTTCTTTGTGTGACTTTTTTTCCAAACCTCCCATACTTTTCCTCCAGCTGCAACCCCCCCCCCCCCCCCCCCCAAGGCATAGTTAATGAACAGTCCCTTAGTAATAATGTACTTGTGGAATTTTTCTTCTTAAATGACTAAGTAGGGCTAGACCAGTCCCCCATCAAGTAATGTTTGTCATTCGCTGACATTTTTTTGTAAAGCAGTGATTTACAAAGAAATGTATGGTCATTTGGCAAGCTTGCCACACAACTAATACATTTCTTTGTAATTTATAGTGTTTTCAAAAAAAAATTACTCCCAAAATATTTAACATATTACTCTCAAATTTTCAAATGTTATTAAATAAGACATTCTTTTTTGATTTCTGGAGTTGGTTAATTACTTGTAACTTGAATTTTTTTATGCTAATGAGAAAAAAAAAACAAATAAAGATATGCCTTTTACTAAAGGAGTAAAGAAAACTGCTTTATTTTATACAGCTATTTCAAAAAATGTTAAAATTTTTTTTGAAATAGCTTTATATATATAAAAAAAAGATTGTACTCTTTAGTGCTGTTTTCTTACACTTCTTTTCAAAGCTGGATAGGCACATGCAAATTTTGTCAGCACTGCTCCATTCAGTAATACAGTGCAGCTCTTGACTAATAGACTATACTAGATAATTTTTTGTGTAAAAAATATCAAATTGAAGAGATAATTGAAAAAAAAATTAAATGGATCTATTGGATATTATATATCAAGGACCATGTCACTGTTTTCATTGCTACATACTGAATGAAATAACAGTTGGGACAGGGAAATCAGTAGTCTCCCTTGCATCCGTTTTTAGTGTCGGTCGTCACTCAACGCAGGAGGGATGCGTGGGAGACTGGGAAATCGGGCAATACACTGCTGTCAATCAGAGTATGTAATGGTGTGGTCAAACATTTCTAGAATATCTTGATTACAATAAATTTATTTTCAGTGCTTTGCATTGGTTTTATGAGTTAGTTATATAAAACCATCAGAATAAAATAGTCCAAAAATACTTTCTGCTGTAATAACATATATAACGACTGTATTTCAAATTATACAATTCAATTTTATTCAAAAATAATTATCTTATAGTTCAATTCAATTCAATTCTTTTCAGTTCATGTTAGTCCAAGATGGCCAGTAGGCATCACAGAGATATGAATTACTCTCTCCATCACCTTGTATATCATTTTCCCAACGTTTTTCAAGCAATTTATACAAATTTAACGAAGAAATAGCATCTACAACAGAACAATGTTCATTAGATTGAATATCAGTCTTAAGCAAAATCCGAGTCAAACTTTTAAGTGAAGGTGTGACATTGCTTGGCAACCCTGCGAAAACTCGAAGAGGAACATACCTCGAAGTATCTCTGATAAGATAAGAAGAATGAGTCAGCTTTAGAACATTTAGGTCAGACTGCAGCGAATGTCCAACAAGTATGTGGTTCTTGATAAGTCGTTTGACTTGTATCTTGGCAGTATGAAAAGAGATCGCTTTACGCATATGTTTTGGTCGAATCCCGCTCCATTGTGTCCTAAAGTCCGTGATAATAGCATCTGGTTTGACATAAGAATCGTAGATCACTTTACCCTCGTAGTTCACTATACTACAACGAGCTAAAGCACTCTTCTTGTCTTGTCCAACTCCAACCATTTCACAATCAATAGCAAGGACACTTTGTGCTTTTTCTTCTCTGGTATTAACTAATACTTCCCCACAAGAGGTGGATGATAGTTTTACAGGTTCTTGTTTAATGAAACTATCTAATTCGCTAGTCATGCTACTACATGTTGAGCTACTATCATCGTTTAGGACGCCATTACGATCATCATTTYGATCTTTTCTTCCTGTCTCTTTAAAAGAAAGTCTCTTGAGTTTTTTTCTCTTTCGTCGTTCCAATTTTAAAGTATTTGAGGATCCCATCTCGCTCGATCTTTCATTAACATAGTAATAAGATGATTTCGAATTTTATACAGTGATAAATAAAGTTTCTTCGAGTTTCTTTCGACACGTGGTGCAATAAAACCGGTATAGGCATTACGCAATTGGTACCCAATCCCCCGCAAATAAACATAACACAGGGACCCCATTTCAATTCGGAGGTGCAAGGTTTTTAACCTGTTTCAGGCGGACAGTCATTCAGGCGCAGATTTTTCCAGACATCCTTTTCCTATGTTTATCTTACCATTTCAGTTGATAAATATTTTTCATGCTAATGCTTCTGAATATTTACATCGTATAGTATGGGCTATTACATTTAGCTATTTTCTTTTAATATTACAGCGCTGGCTCACCGTTCAATGCCTGGGGTCACGGGGTTCGATTCTCGCGATTGAACGGTGTTTTTGTACGAGTTCTCCAGATTTGCTCCCTCCGTGAAAATGAACATGTGAGTGTTACCGCGTTAATGGATTTTTTTCGATTTATAACTTGACCTCTGATCAGTGAGATAATATGTCGCTCTTGGCTCTACCCCGGCCCAGCCTATTTTATGGTTCACAACGCATATTTCGAATTGGCTCATTAGCCTCACATTTTTATGAATAATAAATGGTACATCATACACACTGGATGAAGGATGCTTTTATGATGAAAGTGCGCCTCCTCAAAGACAAGGATAAGAAACCACGTAGTGAAATTTTATTGGCAAACTGACAGCTTGTTCGTAATATTTACCCATGTCAGGCCGCGTGCCCGGGGGTACTCTTGCCCGTTTAGGGTAGGGATGTGCTGCTGAGCTCTCAGAACCCTGACCTTGTTCTAGAGTAAAAATTGCTGAAATTCATACCCTGTTCCAGAGCAAGATCGCTGAAAACCCTGTTCCAGAGCGAGCGCGATTTTATATACCCTGTTTAAGAGTAGAATCGCTGAAAACCATACTCTGTTTGGCGGCAGCCACCCGTATAGCAAATATAGGGGATAACCCCCCCSGGGGCCGCGTGTTTGTGGAAAAGCTATGAACGGAAGAGATCAATGGACTGCTTAAAATGCCATTGCAAAAGAAAATGTAGGATAAAACATATCTCATATTGGAAATGATGCTGGGCACTCAACCTGATACAACGGTGGATGTAGAATATTGATCAAGATGATTGAGTCAAATGCATAAATACGTCTTCTTTTCAAGCGTTACCAGCAAAAAAAGGAATGATTGACATGATGATAAATGATAGGATAAGTAATGAGACCTGAAAAAATTATCTCTTGACGTAAGGATTTAAAATTTCCGCATGACGACTATGATCTAGAATGTGTTCAGAACGACGAATCTCTGATCCAACTTTCTACAAACAAATATTTTTATCCGTCTGCATTAATATAATTAACGGACAAACTTCTCTATTGAGCTGAACCATGTCGTTGCTTTACGCAGCCTTGGTTTTTGGTCTTGTCGGCCAGTGTCTTGCAGATATTTCTTCTGAGTACAACCATTTCGTTGCATTAGATCCATCACAGAAGATTAAATTCTACTGGACTGTGGACCAAGCTGAAGAGAGCATCTCGTTTGCTGTGGAGGCCGTTACTACTGGATGGATTGGCCTTGGATTCTCACCCAGTACTGGTAGAATGAAGGGAGCTGATATCGTGATTGGATGGGTTAAGGATGGAAAACCGTATTTAACGGTATAAAGCTACTGTGTTGTTGCTAGCGGCCTTGACCATGTCGATAATTGTCGCTGCGTGCAGATTTTGATAGATTTCATTTGTCTTCTTCACGAGAATTGCACAAGAATCTGCGCCTAGATAGATTCCGAAACGCCAAGCTGGATGGAGCATTGCTACACTCGTAGCGATGACATAGATTATCTATAATTTTCCAACGTTAATAACTTTTAAGTTAAAATTAGTTCGTATTTCTTTAAACAGGACCGACATGGCGAAGGTTATTCCTTACCGCCGTTGGACGATTCACAGGATTACAAACTCATTTCAGGCACAGAAAAAGACGGTAAAACAACGATGAAATTTAGCAGAAAGTTTGACACTTGTGACAATCAAGACTACAAATTCGAGGTATGTGAGTTTTCAATACTATTGGGGTTGGTTGATTAGTGATGAGATATGAAATGGGTGTTCTGGACCAGCGTAAAAATGACGAAGTCATGTTTACTTTAGATTTATGTTTCTTCAGAACTTTTATGTAGGATCGTTGAGTAAAGCTGATTTCATTGCATAGTTTCTTTATTTGCATATTTCAATAAGTACAGCAAAAGAATATCATTTTATTTACAGTTTTGTCTGTACGGCTTAGTATTTTTCCCACTTGGAAAATTTCTTCACCACAGAGGCCACGCGCACTAATTCTGAATGAGGCGTACAATAAATAATAATAAACCGAAAATGCAGGACGGCGGATACCTCCACTTTTTACGAGAATTACATTTTTAGTTTGTCTAGGAATTATTTTAAGGGAGGGGTGGGATGGGTGGGTGGGTGGGATAGGGAGGGGAGGGGAGTACTGTAGCCCCCCCTCCCCGTACTTTAAAAACTGTTCCGCCGTTCCTAAAAAAAAAATATGAGGCCGTTTTCCAACAACCCTACATACATCTTTTTGTCGATCTAGATGCGATCATGCGCAATACCCACATGGACCAACCCTGGGGCGCCCATTTTATGTTTATGTAAAGGTGCGTGTTTTGGGCCTTTTTGTGTTTGTTTGGGATTTTTCTTCTGTATTTTAGTGTTGGGTTTTTTGTGAAGTGTTCAGTTGATTTTTCTATTTGCCTGAAGTCATACATTCCTCTCATTTTAAACGGCCGGGTTTTCCTCAGCTTTTAAATTCCAGTTAAATTTCGCCTCATGTGGAGCCATTCTGTGGAAAGGCCACTGCTAATTCCCTTTTTTTCCTCAGGAAGGAACAACTAGAGTGATTTTTGCTTATCACGAGGAAGATCCCACCTCTGACACCAACATGAAGAAGCATTCTGATAAAGGATCAAGAAGCATTCTCCTGCTAAACTTTGTGAAAACATCGAAACCCAATCCATCTTGGAAAAAACTAGAACTACTAATGCGCAATGTAAGTCAGTCTATTATATGTCTATGGCATTAATTTATTAAATTTCTACAGATAGTTAAGAGCATCTTCATTTGAAGTCCTAATTTCCGAACTGATGTTTGCTTATATTTTTGCACTGGAAAAATTAATGCGATTTGATGCACCGGGAATGGGAATTAGGTCGATGAGAAGAGAAAATAGGATTTCCAAAAATGGCTTTGAATTGGCCGCTGAAAAGAAAAGAAACTAAGTCTTTTCAACCTCTACAAATCATCTCTCCCTCCCTCCCCTCCCAGCTCCCTCCATTTCTCTAAAACTCAGACGTGGGACAAATAACCTGTTACAAGCATCCATGCAGGACCCCCGGGATTCGCCTTGGCTGATGTACTAGAAAGCTTAAGCAATGGCTTCGCTCCTCGAAAACATGAACAAACAGAAACGGGAACAACAAGGAACCCCCGGCACCCATGGTAGTCCTTTACTGAATAAAATTTGCATACGGCATTGTAGTTTTCAACATAAATGGGACAATTTCTCGCAGTGCTTCCGCGAGAGCAGATTTCAGCAAATAGAAGACTCCTAGAACGATATCGACGTAATCTTGCAAAAGACAAAGTGTGGGCAAGAGAGATCTAGAACTCCAAATGAATTCCAACGAGTTTTATCATTTTCATTTCGCAAGGTATTTTCTACGGATTATCATCGCCATTTCATTTGGAATTATTTTGGTTAATTCCAGATGACAATTCCAAAACTTCACACCAGTTACATGTGCAGACCCTTCAGGCTTCCCGATTTTGGAGGAAAGAAACACATTGTGAGGGTAAGTTTGGTAGAGCATATAGCCTTGCCTTGCCTTGCCTTGCCTTGCCTTGCCTTGCCTTGCCTTGCCTTGCCTTATAATCGGGAGAGTAACAATTTATTTTCAGTTTGAGCCCGTAGTCCAACCAGGCAACGAAGGTTTCGTTCATCATTTTGTCATCAACGAATGCAAAGGAAAATTTCCTGATCAATTGCTTAACTACACCGGAAACTGTATCGACTATGCCAATATGCCTGCAGAGATCTTGAATTGTAAACGAGGGGATATAATTTATGGCTGGGGTGTTGGTGCTGGGGTAAGTTACACTTTGACTATATTATTAAAGTTAGGAGTTTCTGGGGATGAAAGATAGTCCTACCAGGAAAACGCAATGTATCTCATTTCCAGAAGTAAATCTTTAATTCAAACGAACGATTCTTTTATTTCTTCAGCCATTTGTTTATCCTGAACACGTTGGGTACCCTGTGGGAATGAACGACAGTGGCTCGGTACTTATCGTGGAAATTCATTATGACAATCCTAAAAACGTAGAAGGTAAGAAATGTTGAAATATATCGCTGAATAATGCCCACTTCCCCAAAAAAATAGGGAACCCGAAGGGTGGAAGGATAGTCTACTGGAAAGATGGTTAGTAAAAGGGTGTAGACACTGAGGGTGGTCAGTTTACAATCATGAGAGATGGTTAGTAATGAGGTGTAGACACTGAGGGTGGTCAGTTTACAATCATGAGAGATGGTTAGTAATGAGGTGTAGACACTGAGGGTGGTCAGTTTACAACCATGAGAGGTGGTTAGTAATGAGGTGTAGACACTGAGGGTAGTCAGTTTACAATCATGAGAGGTGGTTAGTAATGAGGTGTAGACACTGAGGGTGTTCAGTATACAATCATGAGAGGTGGTTAGTAATGAGGTGTAGNTCAGTATACAATCATGAGAGGTGGTTAGTAATGAGGTGTAGACACTGAGGGTGTTCAGTATACAATCATGAGAGGTGGTTAGTAATGAGGTGTAGCCACTGAGGGTGTTCAGTTTACAATCATGAAAGGTGGTTAGTAATGAGGTGTAGCCACTGAGGGTGTTCAGTTTACAATCATGAAAGGTGGTTAGTAATGAGGTGTAGACACTGAGGGTGGTCAGTTTACAATCATGAGAGGTGGTCATTAATGAGGTGTAGACATTGAGGGTGGTCAGTTCACAATCATGAACTCGTGCTCACTCAAGGAGCTTGTTTGCGCCCTCATTCTCTCTTTTACGTCCTTCAACATTTGGTATCCTGCTTAGCAGAATCTCCTTCTACAATTTTGAAATATACAAAGATTTATTTTTTCTAAATGTAGGACGCCTCGACAGCTCTGGAGTAAGGCTCTACTACACATCTGATCTACGTGCATACGATGCTGGTACTCTGAGTGTAGGGCTTGGTGTTTCATCGTGGATGGTAATACCACCCAACCAGGACCACTGGATCACTACAGGATACTGTAGAAAAGAATGCACCCAAAAGGTAGATTGTCGTTGTAGGGGAGGGTAGGTGAGTGAAGGATCACTGGATCACTACAGAATACTGTACAAAAGAATGCACCCAAAAAATAGATTGTCGTTGTAGGGGGAGGGGAGATGAGTGAAGGACCACTGGATCACTACAGGATACTGTATAAAAGAATGAACCCAAAAGGTAGATTTTCGTTGTAGGGGGAGGGGAGGAGAGGCGAGTGAAGGATCACTAGATCACTACAGGACACTGTATAAAAGTATGAACCCAAAAGGTAGATTTTCGTTGTAGGGGGGAAGGAGGTGAGGAGGAACATGGAGGAAGGACCAGTTTAATACCTTAAAAAAAATAATTCGATGTTAACTATATTTTATAGAGGGAAGGAGGGAGGGACCTGGTGAGGAAAATGGAAGTGAGAGGAAACCAAATATTAATTTATATTTATATTTATTAACCTTCTTCTATCGAAAAGACCCTTGAAAGCAGTCCACTTCCAGAGAAAGGAATCAAAATCATTTCTTCTTTTTTACACACACACTTAGCAGGTAAGAGCTACATTTATTAGAGAATTGAGTAGAGGGGCTTATGGAGTTGATAAATACTGCATAGAAGACCCATTGCTTTTTTCTAGTAAAATAATCCTTCCCATAATATGCTATGATGCTTTTAAGTATTTTGAATGTTAAGACATTCAAAATGTGCAAATTAAATGCCAGCGCCGACTAAACTACGTAATTCCACAAAATTTAATTATCCTATTTGTTTCATTTGTCGTTCGTTTCGACGCAGGTCGTGCCATCTGGACCCAACATGTCAGGGACGGTGTTCAGCTGCCAGATATTGCAAGAGATAACAACTATGATTTTAACTTTCAGGTACAGTTTTAGAGAGAATTCGAAGGCATTCAACCCACGAAATGAAACATAGAATGATGGCATTTAATCTGTGAAATAAAAATACTAGTCAAAAAGTGTAATGAGTCAAATAGACACGCACAAAAAACAGCGGTGGAATTAGGGTATATTAATGTATATTACAGTGGCGGATCCAGGGGGGTGGGCGATGGGGTCCACGGAACCCCCTCTTGAAGGTTTARGTAATAGAAATATGTCTTATATAAATTTTGCTTAAAAGTATCCACAAAGATAATGTTAAACACGAAAYGATAGATGTTTGCTGTTATAATGTTTAATTAACCTTTAAGTTCCGTTACTAGTTACTAAATTAGGTGATTAGAGCCAATTTTTTTGTCAAACATCGACTAAACAAAAGAGAATTATACACAGTTTAAGAAACGGAACCCCCCTTTAAAAAATCCTGCATCCGCCACTGTATTAGTCTAACATCTATTGTACGGGTTTAGTGACTTCACTCTACCATACTTGTTTATTCTTAGATAACGTCGCCAACAGAAGTTTTACCATGTATTAGGTTTTCTTATTTTTCATCACTAAATTTTCGGTTTTCTTTTTTTTCTCGTATTTCTCAGGAGATTCAAGTCCACGCTAAAGAGATTCACTTCAGGCCCGTAAGATACAAAAATTTCCGGATACGTGTGGACGGGGCCTTAATTTGCCCCCAGTGTGAGTAATGCCTCGATCACGTGATCTGTTGTTATTTTTATTTCATTACCAGGGTGACGAGATGATTCAACAGTGCAAGTACAATACCAAGGATCGTACCAAAACCACATTTGTGAGTCTAGTAAATGACCTTTTCTGTCGGTCCTGCTAAATAATCATTGGTGTAGCGTGTGTGAATTCGCGGGAACCGAGAGAAGCGCACGCGTGTTTTGGCGGCCAAATCCCGCCAAAGGACGAAGAAAGGACGATAGTCTTCCCAGTCTTCGAGCAGTGTACATAGGAAGCCCAGCTCTCTCATTTCAACATTCATATAACTAGAAGTTCATAACTAGTGTCCATCTGGTATTAGGGTGGCGTCGGATGGACTTTTGATTCAGCCTGATGTGTTTTGCAGGGAGGACTTAGTACTTCAGAGGAAATGTGCATAAACTTCATAACATACTATCCACGATTAAGACTACTTAACAGCTGCTCCAGTAGCAACAGGCCAGCAGTCTACAAGTTTGTCGAAAAACACTTCCCGTAAGTCGGTTACCTTAGGTGGTTGTTGCTTTCATTTCGTCCAAATCATCCCTYCTTTCGACTCGCAGATCTATCTTTTTTCTGTCGTTCCTCCTTCTTTCCCGCTTCTCTCCTTCTCCTCTTTCATTCCTCCATCTTTCCTGAACTTTTTTATATTCATTCGCTATTATTTTCTAATGTGTTTCGTCTCTTTTAAAATTCAGGTCTTTCAAAGCTTATTCCCACAAGTATTATAACCCTCTTGTCGCAGCTAAACCCAACTGGACCGACGAAATGGCAAACGATTTGAGAAATTTTCTCGACAAAGAAAATATGATATCAGACTGCATGAACAAAGCAAACCGTAGTAACTTTGCAGTGAGTAACACATCGGAATAGGCTTTATCGAGGACAGTGCAGTAAAGGGGGTGGAGAGGGGGGGAGGGAGGGGATAGGGGAAATAACGAAGGGGGTAGGGGAAAGAAGGGAGGGAGGCAGGGAGAGGGGTGGAAGATTTAAATCAAAGTTTTTAAAACATGTAAGGTATCTTTGTTACACGAAATTTTGGGAAACCATTGGGGGTGCGCTTGGAGAGGGGGGGGGGGGGGGGGTAAATCAAAGTTTTTAAAACATGTAAGGTATCTTTGTTACACGAAATTTTGGGAAACCATTGGGGGTGCGCTTGGAGAGGGGGGGGGGGGGCGTCATCAGCGCCACTGTGCTCCTATCTTCGTAGCGTTCACCGACTAGGAGCATTGTACACCCCGGATGAGATGGTTTTCCATCGCCATGATTGCAGGTCACTCGGAACATCTTTCACTATCCCCAACAATTAATTAGTTGGTACTCATTCATACATGCACACTTTTGGGTTCTGCCTTCTATTTGTTTTGCATTTTATTCGAGTTTTATCGCGACTTGCCGTTGTTTTCGACCTAATTTGGATATCTTATTTCCCTTCCAGGAAGTAATTGACCCAAAGAACCTTGGGAATAAGGTTACGTTCAACAAGCCATATCAACCGCCACCTTCGACTTGTGATGTAAACAGTTCGTCGACGGCTTTGAGAGTCAGCATCATTCATCTCTCATTGATCAGTATCTGGACTATCTGGGCTCTTGGAGCTGGCGTTCTTTCACTGTAGTTCAAACCATTGTTTGCTGTGTTCTGGTTGGACACTATCTCAGTTGCACTTCACCTACAAGATCACTAAATTTAGAGCCGCTAATCAGTAAATAAGAACTTAAATGAATACTGAAAAATAAAAATAATAAATGTATGCTGGACTCGTCGAGCAAAAAGATACTGTTTTTTGTTTGTTGCCGTGACGTCATTCTTATCAAATCCTGCTGACCTTTTTCGGCAAGTTTATTCGTTGAATTCACTTGGAGGGATTTTTTGCTCTCTATATCAATTTTATCGGGTGAAAATGAAGGTTCCGGTCGAAAACATATAGAATATATACCCATCGTGATCTAGAAAATTGTTCTAGAAAATTGCTATGTAATGATTATAATAACAACACCGCAGGGAATTTTTCTCGCCCCCAGGGTTCGTGCTACTGCCTAAACTCCTTCAATTTAATTCACGTTTTCAAGGGCACTTGAAAAGCCCTTGAATTTTACGATTTTAACTAAACTCCTTGAATTTTTGCTTTGATCTTTACTTGCATGGTTCTGAAATAGATCTAGTCACCATAGTCACGGAAAGATTGGAAAATTTGAAAGTCGGCATATGCAACCACCGTGTAAAACCTTGGCATAGTTAGCTGAACATACTCCTTGAAAATTCATTTTTGGGATCCTTGAATAGTCCTTGAATAGTCCTTGAATTCTAAGTGGTTAGCTCAGCACGAACCCTGCGCCCCTTGTTCTCAATAAAGACTGAAAAAACATGATGCACTTCAATGACTTTCAATGACTATAACGTGCATGGGGCTACTAACTTCATATTTCTATATACGTTTCCTGCTGTTTGTCCCTTTGAATAGTTTTGCCGAGTCACTATTAGCAGATTTGACAAGCAAGACTTGGGTCCTTTTCTTTTTTTATTTTTTTATTTATTAATATTGCTTCTACTTGAAGTGAATAGTTGAATGGTGAAATATTTTTATATGATTTGAGTAATGCATTTTGGAGATATTAAGGTTTATACTTCCAGTATGCTAATAAGTGTGATGTCATAGGAGGCATTATTAAATATACGAAAATTTGCTGAGGTAGTAAAACATCCTATTTAAAACATAAATGATAAAAGGGTCAATTTTACAGAGTGAAAAGATGAAAAAACTTAAAACTTACTGACGTTTCGGACGCTAGTCGTCTTTTCAGTTTCAGGACAGGGGCGGATAGAGGGGGGGGGGTGGATTGGGAGGATTTCCACCCCCCTTTTTAGAGTGAAGGTGAATATTTTCAGGAAAATAGAAGGAGGAATATGATTGCATCTAATTATGAAACATGTCAAGAGTCAAAAATTTAGCTGCATTCACAAGTATGCAGTACACTGTATGTTATAATTTAATCATTTTTTTACCTTTAAAGGAATAGAATAGAATAACATTTAGATAAAAAAAACCTTTGTACTGTAAAAAGAAGGCCCAAAAGAACTTTTTAAAAATTATCCACCCCCCTTTTTAAAATCCTGTATCCGCCCCTGCAGGATCTATTGACTATACACTCCTATTGCTTACCATCAATCACGCGACTTTTTGGAGTTGACTGGGGGGCAAACAAGCGGTTGACTGGGTGGCAACTAGTCGATGCTAAGTCAAAACATATCAGAATAATATTTGACCATTTTCACGACATCAAACCAGAAAACAAGAGATCAAAACAACCTCCAGGATTCTACAAGCCATCAAAAAAGAGCTATTACCGGAAGTGACGTCTATTGATAGCAACCTATTGACGTTTCTCTTCAAGCGTTACCAGAACACACACAATTGATGGACAAAAAGATATAACTAGCTAAAAACTAGTGTGAGCTGCGTCGGTGTTTCTAATGACACAGTAATGATGAAAAGGTAAATTATACACCGTGAAAAGATGAAAAAACTTACTGACGTTTCGGACGCTAGTCCTTCGTCGGAGTAAAAGAGGGATTGATGGACAAGGGAATACATCACGCATGAAAAGGTTCAAAAAATAGTAGATAGTTGCTATGCCAGACATGCTGCTATAGTATGACGTAATGGATTTTACACGCTTAAACACTTGGACCCAAAGATAGTAGATTACGAAACAATCTAAACACGTTGATCCTTTCTCAGACACACACTCTTTGATTTGTTACCTAACGGATGAAGATGTCGTTGCTTTACTCAGCCTTGGTTTTCGGTCTTATCGGCCAGTGCCTTGCAGATCTTTCTTCTGAGTACAACCATTTCGTTGCATTAGATCCATCACAGAAGATTAAACTCTACTGGACTGTGGACCAAGCTGAAGAGAGCATCTCGTTTGCTGTGGAGGCCGTTACTACTGGATGGATTGGCCTTGGATTCTCACCCAGTACT